CATGAAGCTGTATGGCTGTTCACACTCACCGGTACTTCTGGGTTCTCCGCTGTGCAGCATCCAGGTTTCTCCAGGTTGTTGTCTGCAGACTCTCTCTGCACTCCACAGAGCCAAGGCAAAGTTCAACAACACAAGTAGACCCTCCATTGTTTTTCCCGCATTTTGAGCCCATCACGCCACAAGTCTTGGATACACCTAAAGCCCCACCCACAACAGTCTTGCGCCAACCCCACCCATGACATTTTTTTTGTCCGCTGCAGTTGGCAAGGAAACAAAACAACACTGTGGTTGGCTGTTTTGGGCTGTTGCACTTTTAGTAGTGCTCCTGGAAAAACACCTTAAGAAACAGGAAGGAAGTAAACAGCCACATCATCCAGGAAGCTTTTCGAGACAACCTCTTGCAGCTGAAGCAAGCCGTGGAAAGCTGTAACCTTGTGTGAGTGTCATGGCTTTGCTGTCCCGTTACTGGAGCATGTTTTTAAAATATTAATGCAAAAGAAAACTCCCACAATAATCACAAAGTCAAGGAGAACTTGTTCTTGTGAAGCACCTGGTGATTTTTGTTGTTTCTTCTTCTTAACATCATCCTTCTGGCCCTTGCCTTAATGTGCATGTATGCACCTTTAATCAAACTCCTGCTAACGTGACAGTGACTTGGTGCAGATCAGCATCCAGTGAGCTAACCACAGTTAGATAAAACCAGAGTTATTATCTTTACAGCAGCTGCTGTGATAGCTCTGCTGTTGGGTTTATGACGGAGGAGACTGAGAAGGGAAAACTAACAAATTAGCTCCACCAAACAGTTTTTCACCAGCCACTACTGGTGGCGTTAGTAGTCCAGACCAAACCCAGAGCAACTTACGAAAAGACTCTGCCTTCGTCCCTGAAGGTGTTGAGACCTTCATCACAGGACTTGGATCTCTCAGGGGTGATGGCCAGAAGGTAGGACGAGCGACGACTTTTAATACTGCCTGGAGAGGTGAGAAAGAGTCAGAGGAGGCACACAAGGGGAGAGTAAAGTACTGTTATAGCACTGTTTGGTTCGCAAGCAATTCAGAAACAAAACAGATGTGGTCAACAGGGCAGCCATAAACAGCCCGGTTTATCAAACGTACTTACGCGCAGATCTGTGTCTATTCAGTATGGAAGCAAATGTGTAACACAAAGCTATTTATGCAGTAGCAGAAAATATTTTTCATTTCCATATTACCACCGCCAAATTTGACTCATAAATAAAATTAATAAGCAATCCTCTAAACTGCTTTTTAATTTTCTCCTTCATCACTGCCCATTCTGTCACTTAATGAAAAGGATGAAGAAAGAGGAACTGATTTGTCTTTTTCATGCCCGCCCTGCATTAAGTGTTTCATAATTCAAACACAATTGGCATTCTGAGCGGCGCAGGCTGACGTCAGTGTTCGCCTCGCTCTTCTGAACCCAGTCTGACTCACCGCACTACGCATTTAGTTCACTAGGGGGCAGTGTATACACAGACACAAAGGAAAGGCCCTGATACGCAGGGCCAGATTAACACTGGCACGACCCGAGGATCACCATAATATGGTCACATACAGAATATTTTACTGTAATATGCAGTAAATATACTCAATACTTGAATGCCTGACATCACGTAACCCGCCCAGAGTAACCTTTGACCCACCTCGTGTGGACTGACCAATGAGGAGAGGGTCTTAACTTGAGGCCCTCTCTTCATTGGTCAGTCTGCATGAGACTGACTCTCAACTGACGTTCAGTCGTAGGCAGCGAAGCGTCTCTGTGCAGTGCAAAAGCCCGGGTGGACAGTTTGTTTAATGTAGGGTGACCATATTTCCATTTCCAAACAAGAGGACAGGGGATCTGTGCCTATGACGTCACACTATGGCAACGCCACACAAACCATGTTGGGACCCATTTTTTGTAAGAACTAAATTAATATCAGATTCTGCCAATTAAAGGGCTCTAAAACAATTCATATGTAAATATTTAGTATATTTAATGCAAAATCTCATTTTTCTGCTTTAGTGCTGCAACAAGGTTTTATTAATAATAAATTATTATACCTTTTGTTTTACTACAGCATCGGTAAACTTCCTGTGCACAGATTATTAAGGATGCTTGTTTCAGCTGTGAGATTAGACAATAGGATCAATGACGAAATAAGTTGTCACACACTCCATGGAAACTTTCAGAGAATCCACAAATAGTGGCTTTCAGATGGTTTTGTTACTTTTTGCAAGTTTAGAAAAGCAGCAGATGAGACAGCATGTCTGATAATTTAGTTTTTCATCTGATAATATTAGAACATGTCAGTAATGTCTGAGGGGCTTTTATAAACACCGTATAACTAACACTACTGGAGAGGGTATGAATTACACAGAGGCTTCTGGGGAGCCCAGTTATGGGGGGGGGGGGGGGGGGGGGCATTTTGCCTTGGCCCCCAAAATGTCTTGAAACGGCCCTGGGTGTGTGACTGAGTTTTGAAGGTGATCTGAATTGTATCAGATGTATAAATATGACATGTGTACAACTATGTTAATGTGCTATGCTAACTATGTTAAATTATGCTATGCTAATTATATTATACATGCTATGCTAACTATGTTAAAGTGCTATGCTAACTATGCTAATGTGCTATACTAACAGTTAATGTGCTATGCTAACCATGTTAACGTGCTATGCTAACTTGTTAATGTGCTATGCTATGTTAACGTGCTATGCTAACAATGTTAATGTGCTATGCTAACCACGTTAACATGCTATGCTAACTATGTTAACGTGCTATGCTAACTATTTTAACGTGCTATGCTAACCATGTTAAACATGCTATGCTAACTATGTTAACAATCTATGCTAACCATGTTAAACAGGCTACGCTAACTATGTTAACGTGCTATGCTTACCGTGTTAAACATTCTATGCTAACTATGTTAATGTGCTATGCTAACTATGTTAACATGCTATGCTAACTACCGTAAATCTTCTAATACAGGCCCGGGTCTGTATTTTACTCAAGCTCATCAAGCTCCAGGCCTTTATTGGAAGGAGGGCCAGAATTAGAGGCAGGCCTCAATTTCTATTTGAGCAAAATGAACTAATGGTTCGCTGGAGTTTTTGACAATTAAAATTGCGCCCACATTTTCAAAGTTAAACACTGCATGCGCACGCTGCGACCAGCTGTGTGAGAGATTGGCGTCCTGGTTGAATGGGTTTTTGTGTGTTTTTGGTGCATTTTAATACAATCTTTGTGCCCCAGCTAACCTTAAATCCTTCTCACAGAGATAAGATGGATTTATGCAGGTTGATTGCGCTGGGAATTTTGATTGCGTGGCTGTTTGCTGCCGGAGGGAATGGAGCTGTCATGGCGGGGAGGCAACTCTACTCCAGGGAGATGCTGCTACAGCTGAGACCGACAGGCAAGACAGTTGAATCGGATCTGGTGCTGCATCGGTTGAAGTACGGGGATAAAGGAAGATCAAGCCATGTTGTTTTTGGGAGGAGAAGGAAACATGGAAAACGCGGTGGAGTGCGAGTCTGCATGAGGAAGTGCCGACTAAATCGCATTCCTTTACCCTCAATCATTATGGGAAATGTTCAATCCTTGAGGAATAAAACGGACGAGTTACAAGCATGTGTCCGATATCAGAAGGACTTTGGACAGTGCGGCATTCTGGCTTTCTCTGAAACATGGCTTACACATCAAGAACAGGATTCGGACCTGGCGATTGATGGCTTCGGAGCTCCGCTTCGTTTGGATCGACAGGCTGAGTTGAAAGGGAAACATCAAGGCGGAGGGGTATGTTTATACGTAAACCAGCAATACTGCAAATCAATCAAGATACGTGAAAGAATCTGCAACTCGGATGTAGAATTGCTTTCAGTCTCAATGCGCCCCTTCTACCTGCCGCGGGAGTTCCCGCAACTCTTTTTTACTAGGGTGTATATTCACCCCAAAGCAAATGCTCAGGTAGCCTCCAGCACTATCTTTGACATTGTGCAGACTGCAGTCAATATCCCCAGATGCGCCGAATTTCATTCTGGGGGATTTTAATCATGTGAATTTAGGTAAGACGCTTAAAAACTTGTACCAGTACGTGACCTGTTCTAGTAGGAAGGACAGAACTCTGGACATGTGCTACGGGTCAATAGAGAATGCTTCTAAATCCTTCTCTCTTCCACCTCTGGGATCTTCAGATCATAACTGTGTGCATCTCTTGCCAAACTACAAGACTTTGTTTAAAAGAGAGAAAGTAAGGACCGGGGATGTGAGCACCTGGTCTGAGGAGGCGGTGCTTAACCTGCAGGAATGTTTTGACTGTACAGAGTGGGACATCTTTGTTCAGTCATGTGAAAATGATTTTGACATGTTGGTTGATGTAACCTGCTCATATATGGCCTTTTGTCGGGATATGATAATACCCCATAAATGTGTCAGGATATATCCAAACAACAAACCATGGGTCACAAAAGCAGTGAGATTGTGTATAAAGGAGAAAAATGAGGCTTTTAAACAGGGGTCAGTGGCTGAGTTACAGAGGGCTAACATACTGTTAAAAAGAGAAATTACAAAGGCTAAACATGAATATAGGAAACTGTTGGAGGAAAAAATGGCAGCAAATAAACTTGGTTCGGCATGGACTAGCATGAAAATTATTGCAGGACATGGCTCTGAGGCACAGTACACAACCATCTGTCTAGACCTTTTAACACTGACCGGGAACTAGCTAATGCCCTGAACAGCTTTTACTGTCGGTTTGACGTTCTGGATTCCAGCGAGGAACGGGAGATCCTGATGGAGAAATGTAAGGATAGTGAGCATTTTAAAGTTGAGATGAAGGACATAGGTAGGGCCATCAGAACAGTTAGAGTGAACAAGAGCCGAGGACCAGATGACATTTGTGGCCGCTTACTTAAATCCTGTGCATACCAGCTGACACCGATACTGCACCGCATTTCCAATGAATCTTTACAGTTACAAAAGGTCCCTAAACTATGGAAGGATGCAGAAATTGTACCGATTCCTAAGGTGAGACATCCAGGTAGTTTAAACGATTTCCGCCCTGTTGCTCTAACTTCCATTTTAATGAAAATCTTTGAAAAGCTGGTTAGATGCGAGCTTTTAAAGCAGACACAGCGACTGCTGGATCCTCTACAGTTTGCACATCATGCTGGGAGGGGGGTGGAGGATGCAACGGTCACTCTGTTGGATATGCTGTTTCATCATCTGGACCTAGTAGGAACTCTTGCTCGACTCCTCTTTGTGGACTTCTCGTCCGCTTTCAATACAATCCAGCCTCATGCTTTGGTTAATAGGCTAGAGGAACAGTTTCACCTGAGTAGAAGCATGCTTGGGTAGATACTAGATTTTATGATCAACAGAACACAAAAGGTCAGAGTGAATAGTACCCTGTCGGATACGAGAACTGTGTCTACCGGATCTCCTCAGGGCTGTGTTTTGTCCCCCTTGATGTATATTTTCTACACCAACATGTGCCGAAGCAAACATGAGAGAAGGACAGTTATTAAATATGCTGATGATTCTGTACTTGTAAGTCTCCTGAGAGAAGGGGAACACAGCCATGGACCTGTTCTTGACGATTTTATCTCTTGGTGATGAATCATATCTACAACTTCATGTCATTAAAACAAAAGATATGATCATCGATTTCAGAAGGAAGCCTCAACAACAGCGTGATCTTTCCATAATCAAAGGTCAAACTATTGAGCAGGTGAAATCATATAAATGTCTGGGGACAATTATTGATAGGGAGCTGAATTTTGAGGGAAACGGTGATGCTGTGGGTGAGAACGGCCAGCAGCGATTGTACTGCCTTAGAAAACTGGCCTCATTCCATGTGGACAGGACTATAATGTCCATGTTTTATTGTTCTTTTATTGGAAGTGTTTTATCCTTTTCCTTAGCCTCGTGGTCTGGCCAGGCACACCTTAAACAAAAGGAGATGCTGAACAGGATAGTAAAGTGGTCGGGTTGTCAAGTGAAAAGTGTGGCACAACTGTACAGTGGGCAGGTAGAGAGAATTACCAAAGCTATTGTTAGGGACACGGCCCCCCCACTGCATGCCCAGTTTGCTCTCCTGCCATCAGGACGGAGACTTATCGTGCCTAAGTGCAGGACCAAGAGGTATAAAAGGAGCTTTATTCCTGAGGCAGCAACGATTCTCAATGAGAAATGAGTCTGGTGTGGCTATTTTACTTTACTCTATTTGTATTTATTCATGCATTGTTTTTATATTTTTATTGATGTGTGTATTTTTGTGACTGTGTGTGTAACTGGGCGCTAATTCTCGTGTCACATGGTAAATCAAATTTACCTGCGGGTATTAATAAAGTTACCTTGACCTTGACATCTCTTTTAACAACGGTTGTTTCTGCTTCAGCCCTCTCCCCCCTCCCCCTGCTTCAGCCCTCTCCCCCCTCCCCCTGCTTCAGCCCTCTCCCCCCTCCCCCTGTGCAGCGGCCGCAAACTCCCTGATGCGCCTGCAGCCTCTCAGAGTTCCTGCTGCTCTAAACATTAAAATAATTATTTCATTTTCTGTTCCTCACTTCTGATTACCTTCAATGGTGTCTGTTTGTTGCAACCAGCAGGTACAAAAACTAACTTGTTTTTATTTGACTATTTTTCTGTCCTGTCTGTTTATTATCTTCCTGCATCTCCTCTCAATCCTAAAGAGAAACTGCTACCTGGGTTCATATATATTCACCTCATGAGTTACCTTTGAACTGCAGTTCTAAAAGATCTACCGACCGCTAAAACAGCGGAGTGCCGCTGCTCGCCGGCCGCATCAGTGAGGTACGTCACCGAGGACAAAACAGGTGATGCGCTCCGATCCACAGCAGAGAAACGCATCAGGCACAAATAAAAGAATAAAAGACAGAAAACATAAAAGGAAATGAGCCGACATAAACGATCGCGTGTTAAATTAGTTTTTGAGGTGGCGACACCTGATTTGATAATGTTACTGTGGCCATGCTCAGGACGCAGATGTCTGGAGCGCGTCAACAATCAGAGCTTTGCATGCGCAAGCTGGTTAAGGTTAGGATGGGGGTGAGGGGAAGGTTAAATTGCAAGAGGGTAAAGGTCACATTTTGGTTAAATAACCGTTTTACGGCGTGTGTCAGTACCGACGCTCTGGCACAGCGCGTTGCCCCCCCCCCCCCCCCCCCCCCCCCGAGCGCAGGAGCTTGTCACCTGCTGACAGCAGGCTGCTGTCTTTTCCGAGGACTGCATCTTGCCGGTCATTATCGCGTGACAGCGACTAGTCGATGACAGGCATAACAAGTCACTATAGAGCGGTGAAGTCGACTAGTGACTAGTTCATACAACCCCTACTGCTCCCCAGTGTTCTGCAGCATAATCAGCACGTTCTCTTTGAACTTGATATCAAATTTTCGCCTCCTCTTCGTCTCCGCACGGTTAAAGTTACCCTCGCGGTCTATCACTGGCAAATCAAAAGTGAGACGATGACACAACCGCCCCCCGTACTTGCTTGTTACCACATTCCACCCGGCCACAATAAAATAGCAGCCATTATTCACCTCTGCCGACTCCGACACCGGCCAACATGTGATACCCGGCCATTAATTAAATACAGGCTTTAATATTAGAGGATTTACGGTGTGTTAACGTGCTATGCTAACTATGTTAACGTGCATTATATTCATTAGTTGATTCTCTGTATTTAATACGTCAATACAAAAAGGTAAAAGGAAGATGGTGACGTTCTGAAAATAAAACGTACATTTTGTTTACTAACCAGATAGTTCAGATAATGAAATATAAATCTAGTTCATGTGACTGACTAGACATGCTTTAGAAAGGGTCAGTACCAGCTAACCTGGCTGCATTAATCGCTGCCAGCATGAAGGCTGCAGGTGTGGTTGTAGGCGGAGTCTGTTTGTTCTCTGCAGGTCTGACGGCTGTGCAACAGCGAGCAGAGAGAGAGGAGAGAGAGAGCCTTCACAAGGGGCTTTCAGTACTAAACGGGCCGATCAGCTGAAACTGTTGAGGGAAATGTGTTGAAACTAACTCAGAGGAGATGTGCAGAGCCCGTGTTCCTCATGTGTTCATCATGTGTTCATCATGTGTTCCTCATGTGTTCACAAACGAACAGCGTTAACGAGCTGTTACTGAACATTCTACTGAAGGCAGGTCTGAGTAACGGGCATCACCCCGTCTCTTTAGAAGGGTCTGCATCCACCTGCAGCCGCTGGTCTCAGCTGAAAGAAAGGGGTCTGTGCTGCAGCCTGATCGTTTCACCCGTTCACCAGGAGATTTGTGCAACAGTCAGATTTTATTTTACTTCCACAAAATGAATTTTAGATGAGATATTACAGGACGGCTCGCCCTCGCTAATGACAGGTCAGGATGGCCCGCTGGCTGCTTCCAGGTGGGCGGGCGGTACCGGTAGCGACCTGCTGGAGGCCGCCGACCTAAACCCTCTGCAGCTGTTCTAGACTCATCAGCTGTAACATCACAGGTTTCACAGATCAAAGCTGAAACATCTGGATTTGCCTCTCAGAGATTAGTTTCACCCTTTAGGTTGGATTGCTGACTTGACTGAACTTTAGCACCAGGTTGTGGTGTGTAGAGTCTCACCTGTTCATGATCAGGTGTGTTTGAACGTGCATGGTGTGGTCAGAGTCACTCACCTATGAAAGGAATGGAGGACAGGGAATCAAAGGCGTGCTGCACCAGGCTGCCGTTGATTCGGCGGCTGGAACCCGTCCCCGTGGTTCCTGATGAAGGGGTCCAACCCGGCGGATCCGCAGGTGTGGTATAGCTGGACCGTTGCAGAGCCTGGATGGGTGTCCAACAGCCCGCAGGCATTTTCTGCCTCAGGACCACCTCCTGATTTAATGAGATAGGGGAGATGATTTTTCTGTCTTCACCTTGAAGCACCACGTCCTCCTCTGCAGCACACGAGGCTGGGGTGGACAGGGGCCGCGGAGCTGCCTGCCCAGCACAGTCCCCTCTCTTGCTAGGGTTCCAGTCTAGGACAGCATGGGTGTAACTGGGCTCTCTGAAGGAGTGGGCCTGCTGGAGGAGGTGTCCTGCTTTACGGGAGAAAGATGGGCTGTAGCTCTTAAAGCCAGCCATTTCCTCACCCTTCATACATCTGGTTTGGGGCTCCGCCACCTGCTGGCCTGGCTGCCTGCCACTGGGTGGCACCGTGTACAATGAAGTCCCTGTGGCTTGGTGTTGATGTCCTCCTAAACCCTTCTGCTCACTGGACTTTGTCTTGTGGGGACTTTGTGAAGCCTGATCATAGTGCTGTGATACAAGAGCAGAGGCTTCTGCGAGGGTTTCCACTGAGCGTCCATAATTGTGCTCATATTGTGCATAAGCAGCCAGCAGGCTCTCTGAGCATGACCTGATTCCAGGACCCGATCCACCCTCCCGCCCCCCGAGCCAGTAGGACTCATGGGATGCAGCAGCTGCCTGATGGTGGTGCAGAAGGGCTTCCCCCCTGTGCTGCTCTGTGGACGTTGTGAAGGCAGCCTTAGGTCTGGGACTTAGTGCTAACCCCAGGCCCAACTCCACCAAGTGATCCTGAGATATGGAGTGGTGACGAGGGGACATGTGCTCTGCAGCCTCCGCCTGGCTGTAGTACCAGTCTGCTAGAGCCTGGTGGCACAGGATGTCCGCCTGAGTGCGGGAGGAGGCTGGTAAGCTGCTCTTCTGAGGCAGGGGCAGTGTTGCAGAGGAGATGGCAGCGTTGTGGTTCACAAAATGAAACTCAAGTGCACTGAAAGCTGAGGAGGAACGGCCGTGGTGCCGCCTCAATGGACCAAAATGGCTGCTGGAGTCTTCGAGAGCTCTGGGCGAGTTGGAGACGGCGGTGGAAGCAGTGGCGGGGCAGTTGTCCAGTGGGTTGTGGCTGGGCTTTGTGTGAGGGTAACAGAGAGGCGGTGGCTCTGGGAGGTTGTCCGCCTCACCCGTGTAGGGCTTGTTTCCTTTCAGGTAGGCGTCTTGGGAGTAAGCCTGGGGAGGGGGACCCAACGTGAAACATGGTGGAAAGAACAGAGAAAGGAACCTTTAGTTCATCTCTAACTGATTTATTAGTTAACACCCACACAGCAACAGCGTGTAGCTCAAGTCTATTTAATCAAATGGCCCGGAGTTAACCTAGTTCTTCATGAGGATCCTGCCAGTCTGACAGCAGAGGTGTAGATGTGAGTATCTAAGAACTTAAACAGCATCACCAACAAGACTTGTGTCTACATCCTGGAATAACGGGACGTTTTCTGGCTCATAAATCCGTTTATGAGTTGTTACAACCACGTTCTGCAGCACCATTCATTCACTTTTTTTAACTTTGTACTGTACCGTGTTCAGCGCCTTGGGCCCTTGGGCTTCCTGACTGGGTTGCGGAAGGTGCTTTATAAATAAAGCTTTGATTGATTGACCTACACTATGTTGAGGTCTAGAGTTTTGATACTGCACAGTAATGAATACTGTGTTAACATAAATGTTTATCCTATAATCATTTATTCCAGATCTGATTTACACCAGATTAGTCCATTTGTTGAGTTTAATGATTTGTTTATCAGTTTATTCACACATTAATAATATTATCATAACATAATTACTCCACATTAGGTGAAATAACCTCTCTAACTGTTAAATGGTAATGATGGCCGGTATTTGATATAGCGCCTTCTAGAGTCCTGGAACTCCCCAAGGCGCTTTACAACACAATCACTCATTCACCCATTCACACACCGGTGGGGATGAGCTACGATGTAGCCACAGCTGCCCTGACACAGGCGCCACCGGTCCCTCCGACCACCACCTGCAGGCAAGGTGGGTTAAGTGCCGTGCCCAAGGACACAACGACAGCAACAGACTGAGTGGGGCTCGAACCTGCAACCTTCTGATTACGGGGTGAGAAAGGAGATGTGTCTGAGGTCTCTGACTTTAACTTGTCCCATTCTGATTTGTCCACACTGATAAAGAACAGTTAATAAAAGATAATTCACTTCCTGAACTCCAGTTCTAGCGAGCAGCCCGGTTCGGCCAGCTGAGCCAGTAAAGCATCTGGAACCATCCTCCTGGTCAAACCTGCAGAGCTGCATCTGACCGCCAGCTTCCACTCTGAGGGTATCCCAGACTGTACTGGAGGTAGAACTATGTGCCCCAACCACCACAGAAGTCACCTCCACCGGCAGACGTCTCCGGGCCCTGGATCAGAACCTTCACCACAAGGGTTCGAAGATCCTGCACAGCTGGCGTGGGACGGTGTTTTTATGACAGCTAGTTAAACCAGACAGTCAGACTGATCTACAACCCAGACATAAGACACTTAATCAGGTTCTGCTACATAACATCTTCGCTCACATCCCATCTCTCATTGTCTCTGTTGTCTGGTTTCAAACATCATCATGTGCTCTGTCATCATCAGTAGTAGAAATGTAGCATTACATTCATTTTATAAACTATATTCTTGCCTGTCTCAAGGTGTGGTTTCCCTGGACTACCAGAAGACCCGGTTTCATCTTAGATCAAATAGTAAAAGATCAATAATACTGATTATTCATATTTATATGGAATATCACATCTTACTGATCATTTAATAAAAGTACCCACTTACATCACGTCACAAGGTCATCCTTGGGGACGAGCCTGGCCAGACTCAGGAAGACCAATAACAAAAGAAAATGTGATGTTTTAAACCTCCGTTAGTTTCGCTTTTACTCTGATTACACCAGATACTTCAGCAGAGGTCGGAGTAGCAGGACCACGTGGATTACTTCCATCATCCTGGGCTCTGTGTGTGGATGATCTATGAAAACCAGGTTAAGGTGAGTCAGAGCCCTTCATAGAACTGCTTTTGCCATCAGCACCAGCTGCTCTTCATACATCCTGACTGCCTGTTGTCCTAACCCCAGAGTACGTACCTACTGAAGGTCACTAGAGGATGTTAACAGAGCAGGCTGGTGTTTAGCATGTCCACACTGTGGTCTTCATGTGCAGCTCTGGCTGATGGACTCAGTGCCTCTCTCCTTTTGAAGCCTGCTTCTTCCAGTGAGAGAACCACTCTGCCATTTATTACCGTAATTTCCGGACTATAGAGCGCACCTCAATAAAAGCCGCACCAACAAAAAAAAGGTTTTCTACACACGGCACTCGAAGACAAGCCGCGGCGCAGCAGCCACATGCGGGTCTCCGGCCCACAGCGCATGTACGGCCATAACATAAGATAATTAGACAGAAAGACGCTACACGGAGGTTTTTTGTTGTTGTTTTAATTCAACAAAACAAAATTTAAACACGGGTGAACGTGTCTGCAAGTGTAGAAAAGAAAACAGCACTGATAGCATTCATGTTTCTGGATGGTTATAAAATAAAAACAGCACTGACACGTTATTACCGGTAATCTGCATGTTTAGAAGAAAAGAACAGCGCTGACTCAGCATTAATAAGCCCTGGATGATTAGAAAATAAAACTGCACACAAAACACGACTGGTTAGTAAATAAACCACACCTGCCTACCAGAAGAAGTCATTCGCTGTCATCTTCCTCCTGCGCACTAAAGCCATTAAAGTCCTCTTCTTCAGTGTCGGAGCTGAACAGCCTCAGAAGAGCTTCGTCACATACCTTTTCTGTGGCCATGTCAGTGTCGCTGTCCGTGTTGCTGTCATCATCCCCGGGTGAAGCTGGCTTGAACGAGTTCTTCCCGCTGCCGTCTCCAGAGCCGAACCGTGGATTCATTCATGCCAAGCTTACGTGCGGCAGCACTGTTTCCCTCCTGTACTGCCAGATCGATGGCCTTCAGCTTAAATGCGGCATCATATGAACTCACACGTGTAGTTACCGTGATGAGGGGGTATGGATTTGAAAAACATTCTTCGTCGTGCCGGCTGCTTGCATGTGCTAAATTAAAATGAGCACTTTCTTCCATTTCCACTTTTGACTTCCACCTGTTTTACTTTCTGCTACAGCGCCCCCTGGTGGCAGATGAAGGAAACTCTTCAGTGAAGCCGCACCTCATTATAAGCCGCACGGTTCAAAGCGTGGGAAAAAAGTAGCGGCTTATAGTCCGGAAAATACGGTAGTCATTTCTTATAACCCTTTGACTACGTTTTCATGGCTCACAAACACATATGTCTAAATAAACAGTTTTAGATAATTAAAAATTAAATGTTGCTCTATCTTTTATAACCACAGGATCCCGAGATACTCTATTTTTCCACATTTTTCCATATTTGTCCCGTCAACACAAGTTTAGGCTAAATCCAAAGGAAATTCAAATTTCCCAGCTTCCACCCAGCATTCAAACGCACCATGGACGCACAAATCAGTCAGGCGAGAAAAGGGTCTCAAAAGAATTTTTGTACTTGTAAACTGATCTGTGTGTAATGTAGTTTTGTCCGTGTTTACCAGGTGATTTGTGTGTAGGAGCTGAAGTTACACACGAAAATGTAAACACAAGTTACAAATCAACATTTACACACACACACACACACACACACACACACACACACACACACACACACACACACACACACACACACACACACACACACAAATCTAGACACACATGCACAGATCTTTTGAAACTTGTTTCTCCCCATACATCATCCACATGTATGAATTTAGCTTTACAACGACTAAAACACAGTGCCTGCTCACATGGCAGGATAACGGTGATGGTGTCTGACTTGCTTCTTCCCGTCCAACAAGTTCGAGCATGTGCGTGATTACCTAGCGACTCTAAAGAAAATTGCATCCGATAGTCTTACGTTGTGGGGGGTGTTAAGAGGAACGTGCTGCTGCGCTCAGGAGGACGTCAGGACTGCTCTGACCATGAACTCAGACATGGCTGGTGGCCTGATGTTCAGGGAGAAACAACGGTGCTGCCGGCTGAATGTGTCGAGTAGCCAATCAGTGCGAGGTGATGGAAGGGCTGTTGCTCCTTCTCTGACACATTTCTTTACTTTAAAGCAGCGTTCCTCAATCTCGACCCAGAACCTCCCTTTCAGACTCTGTAGCTGCATCTTTCACATCTACTTAGGCGGCGCTCTTTTGTAAATAACAGGACGAGCACTGCCCCGTGTTAGAGCCACGGTTCCGTCATCACCGCTGCTCATCCGCTTCAGCAACGAGTCTTACTTTCACTCGTGGAGCCGCTCATGATTATTGTACAAATCATTCCAGTCTGTCCTAGAGGACATACACAGATAACCCGGCACCAGTCACCCCGGTGATAGCTGGTTAATGCACTTTAACTCATGATGTTAAACTGACTATCTGGATGTCTCCTGTGATTTATGTCAGCAAATGTCCCCCCACTGTTTCAGCTGATACTTCCATTAGAATCATAATAAAATGGAGCTCGGTAACATGAGTCTGAACCCAGCCACCCCAGCTGTCACCTCAGACCCGCGGATCAGCTGATCCAGAGGCGGAGAAGCAGGATAAACAGTCAAACGCAGCTATTAACTAGTGCAGAAACCTAGCTCCTGTGAGCGGGCACGGCCACTGCCCAGCTCCTGGCTAGCACCCTGCATGTGTGACTCAACAACCACACATAGCAGCAGGATGCCTGCTTTTCCAAACTCGGGAGAATCCATCTTGTACCTGTTATGATCCGCCCCGGTCTCCCTGACTGTGTCTCTCCTGCCTTGATTAACCTTATTGTTCTCACCTGTCCCTCATTACTCTGCCCATGTGTTCCTGATTTCCCTGTGTATTTATACCTCCCTCCTTGTTGCTGTCTTCGTCGGATCATTGTTTGTTCATGCGTGTTTTGTCCCGTCTCTCCCGTTCCACCATTAAACCATTTTTATTTTTTTCATCCGTGCCTGCTCTTCTGCCTCCTGGAACCCTCCACCACACTTGGTCCACCATCTCCACCCTCACAACATGACAGTACCGCTCCAGTTACAACCAACTCAGCAACTTTGTCACTGTTCCTAACGACTTCTTGACCCCCCTCAATGACTTTTTCCAAAAAGCGCCTAGCGACAAACCTAGACAT